CTGCCCAAGGAAGGTGGGGACTCACCAGCCCGGGAGGGGTTTAAGGGACGTGTGAGTGTGGTGCTCAGGGACATGAGTTAGTGGTGGGCTTGGCAGTGCTGGGTTAGTGGTTGGAGTTGCTGATCCTGAAGGTCTTTTTCCAACCTAAACTCTGATTCTGTGATTCGTCTGTGATCTCTTGTGTCCTGGAAGTGCTGCGGTTACCCTTTCCCTAACAGCTTTTGGCTCTTGAGAAACACTGTCTGCCCCGTCTGCTCCAGCCATGTGTGTGAGCCCTCTGGGCACCAAAGAGCTGAACTTTCATAAGGCTTTGTGTGCGGATATAAGGGAATAAAGCAATTAAGGAACTACTCCCTATTGATGTGTTAAGCTATGAAATCTCAGGGATTCATGGAAAACTGCAGGGCAGTTCGCTTTTATCTGAGCGGGTGCACGTCGGGTGATTTTGTTTGTCCCAAGTCAAGTATTTGGGGTGGAGCTGGAGCAGGTGAATTGGGAGGAAGCTGTTGACTGTGTGACTGTACTTGTGGGTACCGGAGTGTCTCCAGACTGATTCCGTGCTCTCAAGTATCCAGGTAGCTGGGAGCCTACAAGGAAGCTGAGGGGGACTTTTTACAAGGGCAGGGAGTGACAGGACAAGGGGTAATGGGTTTAAACGGAAAGAGGGAGATTGAGATGGGACATCGGGAAGGAATTCTTCCTGGAGAGGGTGGGGAGCACTGGGACAGGTTGCCCAGAGAAGCTGTGGATGCCCCATCCCTGGAAGTGTCCAAGGCCAGGCTGGATGAGGCTTGGAGCAACCTGGTCTGGTGGAAGGTGTCCCTGCCCATGGCAGGGGGTGGCACTGGGTGGGCTTTAAGGTCCCTTCACGCCCAAACCAGTCTGTGATTCTGTCATTCTGTCTGGGAGCTGGCAAGTGTAACGGAGGAGGGATTTGGGAGCAGTAAGCACAAGGCAGTGTGAGATGGTGTCAGTGTGTTAAAACACACCTGATGAAAATCCAGTGGTGTTTTTTTCTCCCCTCTCCTGCTTTTCCACAGAGAGACCAGACTTCACAGACGCCATTATTCTACGGAAAGGGGCCTCAGTGGAGCATGTGGTAATTTCTCCGCATCTTTTATGTTTCCTTTGTAGCAGGCAGGTTTCTCTTGGAGCCTGCTGTGATTTGTGCTTCGTAAAGCTTGGGATATGTCGGTTGGGCTTCGTAAAGCTTGGGATATGTCGGTTGGGCTTCTCCTTTTGTCACCTTCACTGGCTGCATTTGCCTCCGGTTTCTTTCCTGGCTGCTACAAAAGGTTCAGAAAACATTAGGCAGCCCAGTGAAAAAGCTCATGGCAGCAGTGAAATGGGGACTGGTGAGCCCTGTGTGTTTGTTCTGTGCTCTCAAAGCGCCATTAACTGCCTCCTGAAGTCCCTAGTGTGATTTCTGACGCAGACCTGAGTGAGGGCCCGGGCCTTGAGCGGGTTGTTTGCCCAGCGGTGTCGCTGACCTGCCTCACGTGCTCTCTGTCTGCCCCGCAGTGCCATCGCATTCACAGGTCCTTGGCCAGCCAGTTCAAATACGCCTTGGTGTGGGTAAGTGTTGCACAGCACACGAAATCCCCTCTCCTTGGCTGCCTCTGGTCTCCTCCTAACCCTCCTCCTCTTGCTTTAAAGGGGACAAGCACAAAATACAGCCCTCAGAGGGTGGGCTTAACCCATATGATGGAGCATGAAGATGTCATTCAGATCGTGAAGAAATAACCCTCTCTGCTGGTGCCTGGCCTTCAGTCACTAGAATTGGAACTGCCCACATTAAAGCAAAACAAAACAAAGAAAAGAAAAAGGAAAAAAAAAAAAAGAAAAAGGGAGATGTATTTCACTGTTCCACAGCCAGGAAAGCTTCTGTGAAGCTGCTCCTCTTGGAGAAAGGCAGAAAATGAGGATACAGACCTTGCAGGTGGGGATGGGGAAGGTGGATTTCCACCTTGCAGCGTTTCAGGCAAAGTAATACTTCTTAAAAATACGAAAGGAGCCAGTTGTAGGACGCGGTTCCCAGTCGGCAGCGCCCTGCCCCTCGTAGGGCGCGCGCGTACGTCCGTGTGGTAACCTACCGGTGGCTTAACCGGTGGGAGGTTTACGGGTTGGCGTCAGCAGATCTGGCCCTGTGCTTCGGGACAGGGAAGACGGGGCTGAGGGAACCCTGCCGAGGCTTTGCTGCTTTTCCTTTCGCTGAACCGAAGCATCGATCTGAAAGAGGAACAGAGCGCTCCCTCCCCTGCTCGTTGGACACGCTGCCTCTGCGGCCTTCGCTGTCGGAGACCGGCCTGAGCCAACCCCCGGTGACGTATCATCCCACCTCCGTTAACGTTGCGCTGGCACCCCGTGCCTCTCCTTAGCTCTGCGGTAGGGTTTGTAGGACACCCTGGTCCAACTGGGATGGAGAGAGATGAGAAATTAAACTTGATTAACGAGGGATTAACCTGGCCAGACTGGAGCAGGCTACGATCGAAGAGCCATAGGCTGCAGTGAGGGTTCGCTTCTGGCCTGTCGCTCGGCGAGGAGCCGTCTTGGGAGCTTCCTCCCTCGCTCTTTTCCTGCCTGTCAGTCCCCAGGGGTATTGCTGGGGATCTCCTTCCTCATTCCTCATGTCCCTAAATTCCAGTAGCAGCTCTTTGAGCTCCAGGTACCACCCTGTGCCCTGGGTTTTACCCCAGCCCTGTTAACCGTTGCTTGCCTGGATATTTTTCATCAGAAACCTGGGATTTTCTAATCATGTTTTTCATGGAATACTGAGTGGTTCCGAGTGCCTGACAGAGAACAGCTCTTCCCTTTGGGATCGAGAGTTGCCAAGAGCTTTTATTTTCTTTCACTGACAAAAGGTTCGGTCTGATGTGGATTTCTAACTGTGAGGACAGGTCTGATCGCCAGCTTGTCGGCGCAGGGCTCCCTCCCTCTCCGAGCTCCTCCCCACCCCTCGCTAACTGATGGAGCAGAGGTGGGAGGATTATTTTATTCGAGCAAATAAAAGATGCTACTTCATGTGACCTGTAGGCGTCTGCTTGCCTCGGGTGCCTTTGTTTTGTCTGGCTTGGTGTGTTTTCTAACTCTTTATCTTTTCCCTTCGGCCACCTGAGGGATCCTGGATGCTGTTGCAGGGGAAAACAGGCTGTGGAGTGGCTGCGAGAGGGCTCGGAGGCCGGAGGGGCGAGTTGTGACAAGTAGGTGTTGCACACAATACCCGAGCTGAGAGGGTGACTTTGAACACGGTGAGTTCCCTCCGCTGTCCCTGGCTCTGTTCGCAGCCGGCGCGCGGAGCGCGTCCCGACTAACGGAGAGCGAGCTCCGAATGAGCCGCGCTACACCGGAGCTGGCCGGAGCGAGCCGGCTCTTCTCGGTGGGACTCGGGTGGGATGCCGTTCCGGCACATCGACTCGCCCTTTATGTTTCCCGTGAAGGTTGCGCAGGCAGGGCTGCCCGCCCGGAGACTTCCTTGGCTTCCGTTTTATCCCTGAATTTCCGACTCCTCGCTCCAAACCCCGCAGCCTGCCAAGCCCCGGCACGCGAGTGGGCAGCCGGAACTGCTGGCTGGCTTCATCCTTCGCGTGTGGGGTTAGGGAAATGAGGCTGGCGTGCAGGGTATTGCCTGCTAAGCCGTGTCCTTGCCTGGTTAGTGCCTCCCTCTCGCTGCGTTCGGGCTTCAAATTGCCTAGTCTAGAGCGCCGTCGTTAAAATTCCCCTCTGTCTAATTAGCTTTACTCTTCATTTAGGAAATTGGGTATTTTATCCTGTTGAAAACAAACTGTCACGATTAAATTTGCCGTGGGGGATGAAGTAAAAATAGTTAAGCCCGAGAAGCTATTTTTTTGGCGGGAGTAGCTTTTTTCTGCAAGTTTATGGCGGCGTGTGCCGAGGCACACGTTCCGTTGCGGCCTTTGTCCTTCCTGACGGCTTCCCCGGTTGCCCTGTGCTGCCGGTACACGCGGCGGGAGCTGCTCTGCCGGAAGATCTCCCCGAACCCTGAGGTCGGGGGGGTGAATCCACTGCGGTGTTGGTATTGCGCCAGGGCTTCCCGGGGTCGGCGGAACAGGCCAGACCCTGTGTTAGCGGCGGGGGGTGTTGGCCAGGGGCCATGTGCTCG